ATGAATGCCAAGCTGCATTGTGGGTAGGTGAGCAATTGTGGGTGATATGGAGATTGTCATGAGTGACAGGGGAAAATTGCTTATGAAAATATTGGCTTTCAGGCAACATAAAGTCATTTACGTTCTGACTTGTGTAGGGAAAAGATAAAACATAGCCAGTCCCATAGAGAATTAGAGGCTGATATTGTGTGTTTAAGTCGCTTCATCATGAGGGATCACCAGGGCAAAATATTGTGTGCCTTTGAGGCTTGGGAGTAGGGGGAAGGCCAGTGGGTTTCAGTCCACATGGACCAGGCATCAATGTCAATTTTTCAAATGAAGATTAAAGCAACATTATTTGTTCTTCTTCCAAAATGGGATTTGTGCCTGTCTAAGACAACTGCTTGGTAACTAGAAGGCCAGAAGATATTTGGCTAGCCCAACGACACCGGCGGGTTCTAGTGTTAATGGAGCTGACTTCAATACCAAGTGTTTGTGACAAGACGAAATAAAAAGTTTATCTGTACGTGTGTGTACGGAGATTGGCGAGGGTCTAACATAAAACCTCCCTCCTGAAGACCTGCCCTACCGGAGTGTTATTGACAACTCGGAAATGCTAGTCGCCTTACTGCTAAAAGCTTTTGTGTGCTGGCCATCATTATTTATTGTATTGGATGTTAAATCTTTACCATAAAGATGTAAGCGATATATATCTCATTTTAAATACGCTGATAATGGCTGGTTCATCCACTGCAAAAAAAAGGAATGCAATCTTACATGATGAATTCTCATTGACAATGGACCAGAGCAAACGTTCCGGAGATCCACGCTTTATGGCGTTCGACAGAGCGGCACCTCGTGTCTGATGAATTGAGATTGTGTCACCAGTCACGTAACTTTCAGATTTTAAATCATATCTATGGATATAACCTCCCTGTGTAATCTTTTGAAACGATATTACTTATCATATATATTACTGCTTTACCAATTTGATATGCAGCCTCATCGTGAGAAGACTATGGGTTTTAAGAATAAAATTAAAACTGATGTGACAGAAGGCCATATATGTAGTTTTTACCTGCAATTAACTAATTACCTGAGCATGTAAAAATAATTAATTACTTCATTTGCAATTTCAAACAGGGATTAATTAGTCTTTCTGTGATCACAGTGCTTAATATGTGCATTTACAATCAGCATTTCCTTGGAATATAGGTTTGGTAAATCAAAATGAATAATTATACAAAGCTATAAGGAAGTCATGTCCTCAGCTCCATTCTACAACCAGACATCCACCTGTTAATTATTGGCCATACACTTAAAAGAATCTGAATTTGAATGTCAGCATTTGTGTTACATCAGATCTGGTGTCAAAGTGTCAACAGAAGATTTGGATCATTGAGACATGATCACATAAATGTTTTATGGCAAATAGGACTACAGGGTTGAAGACAAGCTTTATATCTATGTGAGTGATGGGTCACATGTGCTGTTTATTGAAGCTACATTCTCAACTGTTAGTTAATGTTTTTCTTAAGTAGAAAAAAAATATATGTACAGGCAAATGCAGTTAAGAAACATCTGCTGAATTGCAGAGTTAAAAGATTGCCATTAATTTAAAACAGACTTTGCTGTAAACATAGAAACAAGATCCTTTAAACAGTAGATGTTTAAGACAACAATTTTCTTTAGGAGAAAGCAGATCACAATAGCATTAATCATATATACAAACTACAGATATTTAAAGACATATGACTTACCTTGTGATGAAAACTTCAGTCACTTGTTTCTCCAATTTTTGCCTTGCTCTAAGAATCTTTGCCAAACTATACATAGCCTTGTGAAAGACAGCCACAGTATTCCCTTTCTCCTTCTCTCTCTTCTGCCTCTGTTTTGAAAGTGTTGTGTGTATATTAACTGAAGTTGCTGTTACATAGGAAAGCAGATAACTGCTATATACCACTTAATCCTGGCTCCATGTGAATTATACACAATTTACACGGTATGAAATACAGCATTGTAATGGAGAAAGGAAGCCCCGGTTGATCTGGTGTGGCAAATTAGTTATGGCTCAGTAGTCACTGCATTCTTTTTGTATTAGTGCAACACCTTGTAGATATCAGCAGGTTTTTATTTCTTTCACGTTTTCCCTGCTAATGTACATGCGTGCGGCTGCTATTGTTGCATAATGAAATATTTACATCACATTTATACACGCCGCGCTTCCTCAGTGTCAAATCCAAAAACTTTATAGAAATACACTGACAGCATATCGTAGTAATGACTCCAACAACGAGTGGAAACATGTCGTACTCCCTGACTCAAAGTCCCCGTAATGGGATAGACATGTCCAAAGTTTCAGCTCCTCGTCCACTCGGCACTTGTCACCAAGCACTCCTCACATGGGAAATGAAACACACTATTTCAATTTAAATGTGTAATGGATGACATTTTCATGTGATCATCAAGCTCTTTTTTTCATTTAAAAAAATTAATGAGATTCTTGTTTTCTTCACATTGGAAATCTGACAGGAGAATTCTCTATCTGTTTGAAGCGCTGACTGATGAGGTTGTTGAGTTGGGAGATATTTTGGTATCAAATTTCATCACAAAGATCGTGCAGCCATTAAGAACTGAACATGAAATGTCTTGTTGATTACGTTGATGTTTTATATCAGCAGTTTCAGCAAGGTTGTACATTTTCTGACGGGAGCAATATCGACTGCAACCATTCACATATTTAAACAACAGGTTTACAAAATATAGATTGAAGTGTATTGAGATTGTTTTTAGGGTTTACTGGATAACACTTGTGTCCATTAGAGTCTAGTCTTATCTTGCTAGAGTTTGTGTCATCTTGTTGAGATATGGAAACTTGAATACTAACCTTTGAAATTACTTCTCCTATAATAGGGAAGTGCTTTTTCTGACCTAGGCTACATACGATAACCTTAGAAACAAATAAACCCATTTAGAAGCTGATTGTTGGTGGAGAATTGATTTCCTTCATCTGTTATTGGATCTCGTATAGAGAAAATTGAAGGTAATTTCATTTCAACTGAAAGTACTTACTTGAGACTTGAAGGTTTTGAAGTTTTTTTGTGGCATCAGTAACCTAATTTGTTTGGCCCTCCAAGCCGTGGAAGCCATGCACATCTGTAGGCTTTTTAAATTGTCACCACAATCCTTGCGTGTATTTTCCTAATATATCCAGTATATTGGTACATCACCTAAACACTCTGTCTCTTTTCCATGTTGCTCCATAGAGTCCTAAACTCTGTTTCATCTTCGTGCTTATCATGATGTGAAGAAAATGTTGCTTGGGGGTCTGTGGAAGAGATTGCCAGAAATGGACTGATACGCCTGACAGTATTCTTTGTGAAAGACAAGAGCCATGTGTGATGTGTATTCCAAATGTTCTGTCCGTGTTACCGATATAGGAACTTTCCTAACGACAAAAACACATTCCGCTTACAACTAAATTTACTAATGGTATTCTCATCGGAAACCGTGGAGGATGGTTGTATGTTTGTGCACAAGGACCTAACCATCAGTATCTTGTAGTTAGTTTCAAACTTTTTGTACGTATTATTGTAAACAGTTGCCTTGCACGTCCAGTCATATATAACTTCTTCTCCATTAGGAATTTTACCATTAATTGAATCTTTGGACTACTGTAGAGTCAGGTAGCACATATAGTAAATTAACATACAACAAAATGATGTTTGGCAAGAAAGCTCTATCATTTAGTAAGATTATAAATGCAATATCTTGATGATTTAGTGCAATAATGGATATGATGTCCAAGATGTTGGGGGGAAAAACAACTCACCACAATATGATCCAACTGTACACAGAGCTGCCTGTCATTCTATGTTAGAGTATCAAATGAACATCCCTACCACTGTGACCAGCCCTGTTTCTTGACAGTATAATTCTGTGACACTATCTACCACATGACATTGAATTTAAATGATGTAATTCTAGATCTTCTAGAAATCACAGGAGTTAAAAAAAATTATTCAAGTGGAAGCTTAAATATCGCAATGAAAGAAAAAAAAATAAAACACAGGTCCTGTGATGCAGCATGATTGGGAATAATGTGTGCAGTTTGTGGCACTCCTGTGAATAAAGGCTTTTTACAAGTCTCCATTTTGTTTTCAGTAATTGCTTAAGCTTCGAGTATTAATATGGAAGCCTTAGGCCAGAAAAATATCTGTCGATGGCAGAAATTACAAGCAGTGTTTGGTAATAGCAATCCCATTACACACCAAACTCACTGTTTACAAAAAAAAAATGCCTGTAATTAAACTATAAAATCTCTAATGGATTTTCAAAATTTAATCAGTTGTTTTCATGATCAAAGCTGAGTATGGTTTGACAAACACACACACATAGTCGTAAAATAATCATTGATGGTTTGTTTAAACTCAATCAGCGTCTATCACTACAACATCACGATACATCAACAAATCGTATTTGGAAATTCATGACTGAGTGAAACCAAAGAATTGTTTTCCATCAGCAAAATAGTTGTGTGATCTTATATAATGAGTGCTTTTTTTTCACTGGTTTACTTATAGACGTATACATATATGAACTGTTGGCGTCGTGGATGGATTAGGTTGTAACAACATTGGTTCTGATTGGGCGAGCTTTAATAGATTATATATACTACTGTAACCCAAATTGCTTTGACAAGAATTGTACAAGATGAAAGTCGCTGCAGCTTTGTAATGATAGAAGTCTTGATTACAGTAAACTATTCTAATTAATAAGGTAACCAGTTCTCCACCTGCTAATCAAGGGAAAGTAGGCTGGATCTGTGGAATAAGACTCCTACTTTCTGGCACAGTCTCGAAATTAAAAAAATGATGTGTATATATATCTGAGAGGAATTTTTTTTCCATATTTCCAGAATAGAATTTAGAATAGGGTTTATTTTTTATTTTACCTATGTTTTTATGATTTTGCTAAAATATTGATATTAAACTGATGAAATTTTATTTTTATTCTTTCAGGACATCCTGGTATGGGGCCAATGCCGAGAATGGGGCCCGGGGGACCACGCATGCCTGGGCCTATGAACCCAGTAAGACAATTTCATATTTCCAATACACAAGTTTCATATAAAGTTGAATTTCGTTGATGCAAACTTATGATACTGTTTGATATATATTTAATATTCTTTTTCCTAGAAACATGAACAAAGTTTGAATTTCCGATACATTTCTGAATACATAAATGCTTCTCTTTTTCAAGTATTAGCTGATTAAAATGTTGTATTCAGTAATGTGTTTGTGTTTTTCAGTACGACTCATTACCAAACTATGCGGGTGGTATGAGGGGGCCTCCCCCTAACAGTATGGGCCCAGGAGGTCCAGGACCTGGCGGCATGCCACCAATGTCTATGTAAGTATACAGTACAAAAGTACAGTAATACACATTAAATATGGAATTAAAAACACAAAGAGGGGGAGGAGTCCAACGTCCTGTGGGCGGTAGCCAACTGAAACATGTCACTAATAAAATAAAGTTACAAAATCCCTGGTGTTGATGTTCCGTCCTTTATCTGCTAAATATAGAATTGGAAAAGAGAAATAAATGAAGATTGATCCTTAAACTTTATCAAGATGGCTTTCCAAAAAGAAAAGTTATCATGGACTCTTATAAATACTTTCTACAGCTCTTGCAATAAAGATTGCAAGAAAAAATGGTTAGGTTGAATTATGCTTTATATTCTGAATACAGATTTTAATCTTTAATCATGACCTCTGACCTTTATGTTGTAGGCCAGGGCCAGGGGGACAAGGAAACAGACCATGGCCACCCACAACATCATCTGTAAGTAAATCAATTCTAGAAAGATTTGACAATTCATGTGACATTACCGTGTTTATCCCGCAAAAAGTCCTGGAGACTAACATACACAACTCAAGTGGGTAAGCTGATTGTTACCAGGACAATGCCATAGAAATTAATGGACTTATTGCGGGATAAATACGACAAGAAGTCATCGCATACCTGTCAACTTTTATTCATAACAGTAATTCATTTAAAGTTCGGGCAAAGTTTAGGATATATACATCTGTCAAAATTTAGAAATTAGTGTTAAAACTAAGGAAACTTGCCCTGAAATTGGGAGTGGTTGACAGGGATGTATGGAAATTCATTGAATGATCTTTCCTATTATTTTTTTCAAATTTTCCATGTTAAGATTCAATTTTTTGCCACCTTTGAATTATTAAGACAGCGAAAAAAAAATTGTCTTCGAAAAAAATTTCATTTTTGGATTTCACACCCTTTATTTTATTAAAATAAATGTTCAAAGCATCGTATAAAAAAAACGGAAAGGTCATTGATTGTGAAAATTGTTCTTTCCGTTGCAGATTAACTATTCATCAGCATCGCCAGGTAGCTATAATGTAAGTATATATATCAGCAACCATTTGGAAATAATGTTCAACTAATCAACGAAAAACATAATTTAAATATTATTTTTAGGGCTTTAGTCCAAAAAAGCAAACCACAAAAAAATGTTTCCTAAGAGTTCATGTGACCCAAATCCTTGAGCTCAAGTACCTGTCTGGTAATCCTTAAATTGCCCTAATTGGTAATTGACCTTTGTTGTGGTCAAGTGTCCAGGCTCTTCAGTACTTCCTATGTCCGTCAATGTTGGAAAAGTGGAGAAATTTGAGGTAACGACAGGCTAGGGTTATGGTTTTGGTCACACTAAAGGACCAACAATTATGAGGTGTCATGGTAATTGACACCTGGTTTTGAATGGCGCCTGGTCAGCACTAATATTTGGTGTTTTTTTTGACATTCTCTTGTCCACAACCAATTTTGTAACACTAAGTAATTAGTTGCATAAGTGGAGTTTATTTTGACTTACTGATGATAGAAAGGAATTAATGATGACAGTCGCCATAACAACGATTGTTACGTAGTAAGTATCACTTTGTCTGCTACACTGCAGTCTAGATGATTTCACAGCCATTATTATAACTTAAAGGTCATGTATAATGATATATTTGGAAGGAAAATAAATATTTGTGTAGATATGGACCCGTTATTAAAATCCTTGTGAAATGAATTTCTGGAAATTGATGATGGTATATATGAATCACGTGAGCGGAGTAGACATAGACCTTTCCTGACAGTGTTAAAACAGATTCACTTAAATGTCAATACTTTCAAGGCATTGGTGATAAAAATTGACAAATACTGTATCACTGCTTTTTAGATAGCTGTGGGATGTAGATGCTATTGAGTTATTGCAAGTCCATTGATTTTTTTTGGGGGGGGGGGGTTGTCGAAGCCTGTTGCAGGATTCTTTGTATGTTCAGGTAATATTGCTATCCTGCACATCTGTAAAGATTTCTGTATAACATGTCTCAGATTTTCCTAAATTCCCATTTGTTTAGATTGACTGACAGGTCTTTCTGTCCTTGTCAATCACATATTCATAATGTGTGTGATAACTGGTAATTTTGACAGGGAATGGTGAGGGGCAAGCAGAGAGAGGTACTTGACAATCTCTCAGGTAGATGTGTAATTATCATCCTTTTGTTGTTTGATGTTCGCACTAGGAAAGAAGGTCTGGGATACGTAGGGATAATCATTGTAAAGAATCATTTAGATTTGTGACAGCTGCACACGAAAATTTCCTGCTAATGCAGGATTTTGTATGATTCGATATACTTTCGGTTTCTTAGCCTTTGAAGAGAAAGCCAAAGGGAGAGAATTTGGAATCAGCATTGCAATTAGAATGAGACTGTCTGGTTGTAAATCTTATGTGTTAATTTTGTATTTATATTGTCAATGTGAGACTATGCCTATATTTAAAATCCATGTACTTAGAAATATTCATTCCATTTCAGCTGAAAATATAAAAAATACAGAGTTTTTTGACAATTTTTACTGACTGAACAGTAAAACCTCAATATTTGATGCCTCATTTAACATTTTCTCCTTGCTAACTGATGGTCTTTTCCATGGCTCCTTTTTCATTTTTACTTCTGAATGCAATGTTTCTCGCTGATAATTAAGTTTTAATTAAAACAGATCTTCAATGGACAGATGGCTTCAGTTGAAGGAGGTTTTACTGTAACATTTCAAACTGAACTTTTAAACTAGCATCTCCAACAATAAGGGGGTGTATGTGGGATGGTATGAGTTACCTAACCATGATTTTGTTGTATACTTCAGGGTCCTACTGGAGGAGGACCACCCGGTACACCAATTATGCCCAGCCCACAAGGTGAGTACCCTACCCACAGTACACTAACCAACACGTAGGGACTGTTGATACTCCCTTAGATGGGAAATGTTGACTCCCTAGGGATATATCATCATCACTAGGATGCTAGAACTGTCCAGACTAATTCCTGTCCATCTCTGCACGTCATCAAATATTTAAGTATAAATGTGTAGCTCAAGTTTGTGGTTTAGTAGAGTTGTATCCCCTGATCTATAAATAGCAGATAGCTTGTAGAATTATAGTATCTTCAACATGTACTCAAATTTAATTTTATTAACATTCTACAGATTAGAAATAACATCAGCAGAAAATTCTCCAATGTTAAGCGATGAAGCCAGCCCAGGAAGCCATTCCCAATATAAACAGACAAAGGCAGTCTTAGGAAACCATTTTTGTGTCACTGTCTTGGTTAGAATTTAGTGATTTTGAAATTTAGGAATTTAAGTATTATCCTTTGCCCTCCGCAAATAAAATTCCTTTGTCAGTAAATTCTAAGGGGTGACAGCTGAAATTGTGTAAAACATTTTTAAAATGTATTACTATAACAATGGTTTCTCATCAATAGGATCCCAAGGACCATTCTCACCAGCAAGCCATCAACGAATCGGGTCAAGACCAGGTGAGACAATACCCCTAGTTCGGGGGTAAGGCATGAGCTGTCCCCTTCTTTTACCCTAGCTGTGAAATAACACCCCTTGCTGGTGGTCTGAGTTCGACCATCAGCTGTTTATTTAATGGAGAAATGTCTTGATAAATACAAGTATTTGGGCTCTCTGACTGCTACCTCCATGTCTTCGAACTTGTTTATTTAATAGATATTCAAGGCTTTTCCTCTTGACATCAGAATGTTGCTTGACCCACAAAATTCTCAAGTACAGGCAGTTTGACCCATCATATCCAAGTAGTAGAATTCTCTTTTTTTTGTTTCGGTTAGGTTTAGAGTGGGCTTTGAATCTGTTCGTGCTGATGTCCCTGTACAAAGAAATTACTAATCCTTTCCCATTCCTCCTGCAGATTGCCTGTAAGGCACTCTAGTTTCTTTGATAGCAATTTCCTGTATTATGTAGGTTAGCTGTTGCAGTCAAAGGGAGATAATCTTGTAATTGCAAAGTGGTTGATGACAAAATTTATGGAAAATTTTGTGAAATCTTGTCAAATGTTTAATGGCAGTTCATCATTACATCTATATGATGCACGAAACACTGCTTCTATTAAAATCTAACTCAAGGATATTTTTATCTGTCAAATCTGGAGAGGAAATTGTGTTGTAATTCTGACAATCATGTCCGTGAATGCAAACATTGTCTTCGAAGTTAGGAAATTCACACATCCATCAAATAAACAGCCAATTGTGCTTTAGAATTAAAAAAATTTTGAATTCTTTAATTTCTGATTTTAAGTTCCAGTTCATATTTCATGAGCTCAAGTGCTTTAGAATTTTGAATATTTTTGAATTCATCAGTTTCTGATTTCAAGTTCCAGTTCATAATTCAAGAGTTCAAGTTGCAGTAAAATTTGAAACCTTTCGTTCTAATACTAAAACAAATATTTTCAAATCAATTAATTGAAAGAGTGTGATTGGTATTTGGATTTTGAATACACTCTTCATAAATCCACTGATTTTATCACTTAAGTTGATTTAGAATTTTGAAAATTCTGAAAATTATGAGCTAGATTCGCGTTTCAATAAAATGAAGAAACCTGTTTTTGTCATGCTCTGTTTCCTTTATTTCTCCTCATCTGTATATAGATGATGTAGAGCCTCAAAAGATGCTGTGTTTAGGTAAGGTTATATAACTTGTGGCAAACAGCTGGTATTTTGTGTGTCCATGTTCCTCTTATATTTCTTTCTTTCCTTTTAGTATTTTAGACAGAAAATAAAAGTTTTAAAAAAAAGCCTTGTTTTTACACAGATGAGCACATAACAATGTTGGATTTTTTTTTTTTTTTTTTTTATTTTTTTACCATTGACCATTGTCACCTGCATGCGTATCCAATGCTTTGGTGAAGTAGCAAAATCTTAGCTTCCACTGTACACAAGCTTAATTCTATGGCCGTCCCAAGAATTTTAAATGTTTCAGCTACAATTATTTTTTCTCATGGCAAAAATAATTTGGTCCTCTGTAAATTTAGACGTTTGAGGGCTATCCAACCTGTCTTACATACTTCAACAGCAAAATGTTTCATATTTCTGTCTCTGTTCAACAAGTTTCTCAAACGATATCAGTACATTTGAATCCTTTGAGAATAAGGGTATCTCTTCCTCAAGATTTCTGTTGGATGCAGTTATAACTGAGTTGGGAGAAATTAAGTAGAGATTATTCCAAATAAAAAATCTTTATTCAGTTAAAATCGGTGAATGCCAAATTGAGCAAGTAGAAATATCAGTCGTTGCACTTGCTTCAACATTTTCCCGTTTTATTAAATCTTAAGCAATGCATGTTGGGTAATATGGATTTGAATTCAAACAGTGCATGATGGTAAATTTTGATTGGGTTAATGCATGTTTCAGGAATTTTCTTTTTACCAACTCCATTTTAACGAGATTATTTACACAATAAGTATAGATTTGAAAGGTTTAATTAACAGTTCCTGCACTTTGATTTCATGACAGTTTTTGTTAAAATGGTTTTTTTTTTAAAAAAAAACAGATGAGACAGCTGTATTTTTCAGGGAAACTCAATTTAAGTAATATTACAGGTTATCACTAGTGCAGCACACAGGAGTGTCCAGATTAAGTCCAAATAAGAAAGACATTAATAGCAAAATTACATGATATAGAACTGATCAATTGTGAAAGGATGAAATTGTTAAACACATGACTGTAAAATGTGTATCATAGTATGATTTAGCAGGAAAGAGCTAGATTTCATAAATTATTTTATTTTACTCAAACTTCGGAATCACCTTGACAAACTTGAAATTACTGAAAAAGTGTCTGCTTGATTGACCTTAAGAGTGAGAGAGAAAGACTCATTTCTGATATATTGATATTTTCTGAGTAGAATTTGTTCAGCAGACAATAAGAAAATTTGTCACTGACATAGAACTTTCATAGAAACTCTTAGGCACAGAAATGGTTTATGTCTGTGATGGTAAACTTATGGTAACTATGTCAAATTTGAGATTTGTTTGGTTGTTACAGATTCTACGAATTCAGGGGACGGGATGTATGGAATGATGAAGGGTCCAGGGCCCGGAGGAATGCCTGGGATGCCGGGGGTAAGCAAAGCCATGATCTTCTTTCCTCATCTGTCAATATTTTCTCTTGCCGTTCAGATCTTTGCTGTTTAATTTGTCAGAAATGATGGAAAAGAAGATGACCTTGTTGTTTATTCTCCTTTTTTAGTGTTCAAGCTTATTTTTAGATCATGTTCACAAATAAGTTATAAATTCCAGTCAACTTCACAAAGAAGTTTTTCAATGTTGAAACAAGGGTCACAATGAAGTGTCATGTCCACAAGGACAAGATCCAATTCACAGAGACTCTCCAAGTGCATTAATTCTTACAAACACGCTTTCAAGTTGAAATCAATCTAGCATTGTCTCCGGTCGATAAAGGTCCACAATGAAGCTAAAAGTTGAAAACAACATGCTGACATTGTAACCTCTCATTCCAAAGGGCATTTAACAGTAGCACATTTCTGTTTATGTATATCCTTGTGTTTTACATATTGTATATGTTTAAAATTTTGTGATTTACATGAGTATAGTTTTCATTTAATTTTGCATGGTTGTTTTCAGCAGTTTCCTAATATACCAGGCGGGCCAGATGGACAAATGGGGATGGGGCCAGAAATGGGATCGGTGATGAATGGTGGTAAGTCGCATGGGGGCATGGCAAATCACATCAAGCAAGCATAAAGAATTCATTGTGCTAGTCTTTTTGGTCTTCAAGCAGAAAATATGGTGAAAACTTTTTATTATGGGAGAGCAAGCAAGAGAAAAACTATTATTGTGGAAGTTCATCCTTATACAAAAAGTTCTTTTGTAAAGGAAATGAGGATCAAGTTGGGTCAATGCGCTTTGCATTGTTTAGCTTTCTAAGCAAGTTTTTGCGTATACTGGCCGTGACAAGTTTACCAACCTGACTGACGAGTCATGGTCTACCTTGTGACAAATATTGCGGGGTTTGATCTTACAGGTGATATAGATGGTATGAAGAACTCTCCAGCAAATGGTCCCGGCACTCCAAGGGACGATCTGCCACCCGTGAGCGGGGCTGTGTCAGGGGACATGGGTGGCTACCCGAGTCTAGGCTACCAAGATAATGTAAGTCAGATGAACATGTGAGGGGTCGTACAGGCCCCCTCCTTCCTAGCCCATTGATGCTCAACTCTCCTCCACCACCTAATGGGCAGTCCCATAGTTATATACATAGATATATGTGCATTTGTCAATAGGAAGTCCACATGAAAATGCAACTTCCTTGTCTTTTCTGTCAAACTCTCTGCCAGGTACAGCAGGGAACAATTTCATTGAATACACTTTGTTTAAAGAATAATTTTAATAACGTACCATTACAGAAGTAAAATTCATTTAATTTCTCATTAAAAAAACAAAAATGAAAATTTTTTTCAATTGGATGTTTACTACTGATAAGATTTTGATAGGTTGGTTGTGAGATCAATTGGCCAATCACTTGGAGAGAATGCTGAGTCCCATGCTCCGTCACTCAAACTCACTTACTCACTTTTTACGTATTCACTCACTTGCTCACTCACTTCAATACAATGATGACGTAGATTGTATATATGCTTGACTCACTACTGTGTCTTCTCCGTCACTTCTGAGCCAGCTCTTAGCTCATCTGTGGCTGGTGGAATCTTTTCTCTGCATGCTATGTATGTTACACTGTTCTCGGTTGTCTCTACTGCTTAAACCTTTGCGTGAAATCTCTCGCTTGAGTTTTTTCATTTTCATTTTACTTATTTATATATTTTTTTTTTTATTATTATTATTTCCTTGTTTGTGTTTTGTCTCATGAAAAAAAGGTTTCTTTAGTAATCGTTATATATTATCATGTATATATACTGCATATTGCTTTTATATTCTGTGTGACTATAGTCAAATCTCAAACAATCTTGATGGTTACTGGAGGGTTTTAAACTGAAGGGAAAAAAAGGCAAAAATTCTCAAATACAGTTTTGGATTGGATGCATACTGCAATTATTGTATGATAATCAAAATCACTATTGCCATGGCAATCTTTCCACGGGTGAATGAATGTCTTTTACTATTACGGGCCTACCTCCCTTAAGTCTCCCGGTCACTGAAGCATGTCATACTATTTATATCTATACTCAACAATTCTTCCAAAGGAAAGAAAAGGACAGAAAAATTGAAACACAATTCCACTTTCCTATGAATGAACAAAGCTGTAACATGTATACAACTGATGCGCAATTCTGTACAGTTTTTGCATCCTTCTCTCACCCTAACCTTTGAACTATGACCCTTCTCTCTATCGAGAGCATGTCTAAATCAACACCTGTATCGTCACTTCCTCGTTATCACTGTATGGACGGCCTCGCCTGTTGGGCCCCTCACAAGTAACTCTCACCTCTTTTTATGGTCTGAAAGACTGCAAAGATGAACCCTAAATTCCAAAAATCATCAGGGTCATTCCTGTGCTTGTAATGGTAAAAGAGCTATTCAAGGACTTTTGGAAATGTGTGATTTTAGATACTATGAGGGGATAGAACTTTTACATCTGACAAAAAAAAAAATATATACATATTTCTTTTTTTCTTTTTTTTTTTCAAATATGTTTCATCTGAAACGAGCTGAATTATTTTTGTTTGAGTTGAAGTAACTGGAAATTATACTTCATAGTATCGAAGCATCAAGAGGAAATGTGGTAATATTTGGTATAATTGGGAAGTAGGTTTATCGGTATGTTGGGTGGGGGTGCACGCACGCTTCATTACTCATGGCTCTTGTATATATCGTTTCACAGGACCAAACGGAGTCTGCAGCAATCCTAAAGATTAAAGAATCTATGCAGGAGGAGGCAAAACGGTTCGAAAAAGACACTGATCACCCCGACTATTTCATGTCACAATGAAGCGCGATTCACCCTTGTTTATAAGATAGAGTCTATTGTAAATTATTCTGTTATTTATAAGGTTTTGTACGTAAACATCTTTGATAGCTACTGTTAGCAAGTAAGGGAGAAAGAAAGAAAGACAGCGCGAGCTACCTGACCTACATTGCAAACATACACAATGACTGTTTTTCCTATGTCATTCATGAGTTATATGAGGGATTTTTTTAAAATGTTTTTACCCTTTTTTTTTAACAACATTTTTTTTTTTTTTTTTTTTGAAATACACAAACTGGTGCTGAAACTATGGTCATCTTTAGCTACTAAGCTAAGACTTTGGGTCGCAGTGGTCAGCATTAGAACTGGGGCAAACTGAGCTTAAACTCATTATCATGTTGTTTTCTTTTTGCTTTTTGTGTTCTCCACAAACCTGTCTCGGGAGAATGTATGTCATCTTGTCTGCCAACTAACATCACTACGTTAAGTTTCAGAGAAAAAGAATGAACCCCCAAAATTTCTTTTATCGTTTTCTCGAGAATTTCTCGTACGTTTCCAAAAGACATCCAATCTATACAGATATGGATAGCCATTTTTTCTCTCGAAATTTCAATTCCAAGTTTAGTGCTTATTTTGTGCTGTAGGAGACCAAACATTGAATGTTATCTCGTATACTCTTAAGTGATCATTTTTAAAATGAAGAGAAATTTTTCTATAAAGCAAATTTATGTAGGGGGGGGGGGGATGGGGTGTTGGAAAACAGCAGAAATAATGTTGTCCCATATTAAATCTCAAGTATTATTGCACGAGATAACATGGATTGTCAAGTTTCCTAGAGACAGACTTTGGTGCTGCTTTTATTTAGTTGATGGCATAGGATTGGGTGGCCCATGGTTCTTTAATCCATGGTGACTGGCCCCTCAAATCATTTAACATTGCTTTGACATAGTGTTTCTAACCAATCGTAGAGTGTCTGTTTTCATATGCATGTCTACTGCCATATCACAAGTTTTTTCTTGCCTAAGAGAAACAGAAGGAAAATCAAATTAAGGTGCTTCTTTTTTTTTCGCATTAATATGTATCATTTCTTATTTTCATTACATCATTCGCATATTTATTTCATCAAATTTGGTGCCAGTTTATGTGTTTGAAGCAGCCTAAGAGATTCTAGGGTAATTGTAATGCTTTGTAAACAAGAGAAACCTTTTTTTTGTTGACCATTTCTTTTCATTTCTTTTTTTTTCACATTTTAAGTTTGCAAGAGATATTTTTGTGGTTTTCCCAAGCAATGGCAGTTTACATGATCCTACTTTTTTGTATTATGTGTGGTAGCACCAGTTCTTGCCTCAGTTCGCTCGACACACTTCAACTCCAAGTCCTTCATCATTCCCCTTCTCCAGTGGGGGCATGACACATCAGTCACCGTTGTCGTGGCGACAAGCTTCCGTCCTGCGACCGCGTTGACCTTGTCATCAGGATTGTTTGAACAAGAAATAGTCTTGAAGCCAAAGCAGAATCTCCCACCTTTTTATTTATTGTTAGCTTTCATAGGAGCCTTTTTTATCTCTCGCTTTTGTATTAACAAGTTAACAAACCTACTCATTATGCCTCTCTTTAGTTTGATCTGCATGGAACAATTAAGCTGTTATGAGGAAGCAGTGAACAGGCTTAGCTAGCCTCGTTGTTGAATATCGTTAGAACGTCTTTCTCAGCTGTGTCACATATTACAAGTGGTACATTCAGTATGTGTTATTATGGAAACCCACACAAGCGATAGATATATATCTATTTGTATATATCGTCGTTGAATTTTTTGTGTCTTTTTTTTGTGTTTAAGCGTTGGCTTGAAGATTATTTCTTCAGTACACATCCCCACTTTATCTTTTGCACACATTGATGAATAAATCGTTCTCAAGGACCAAGAAAAAAAAACAAAGGCAAAAAGAAAAAGATCACTTTCACTATTGTGGTTTCATTTTGTGACCTTTACCCTGTAAATTTACTCTGGCAAAAATGACATGGCCCGTCGACTTTCGTGAAAGATATTGTGAACACATCACCAATGTATTGTGATCATGTTTCTTGATTTTACAAATTCCCATCCTTTCATGGTACATCTATTTTTTAAAACTTGTTCTTCCTCCCGAAATACTTTTTGTCAACATAAATATATTTTTCATATTAGTTGCCAAACAATACAGACACTTGTTTTACAGTTTTTATTCAATGTGATTCCCTTGGTTATTCTCTGAACATTTTTTTTTATTATTATTAATCAATCACAAGCCATCGCTAACGTAAACATTTTCCTTTTAATTAATAATTGCCATAAAATAACAGCTAAAAAGTAATTGTTATATGTTAATGTCATCCAGAGGAGAAGCAGATATGAAAAGTTTCTTTGCCTGTTTGGGGTAGAACTGCCAAAATCAACCAAACTCATTTGCAAATTCCTTTTCCTCAATCAAACTGAAAGGTTTTGATTGTTTTGTAATCATTTGATTTTACCTCCACGGGGAAAGATGGGTTTCATAACATACTATTTCCTCGATCAGACCCCAGAGCTTTTATTAAGGGAATTGAAGTCCATCTAGTTCAGAGATTCAGATTATCTTGGGTTTTGAGCTACCTGCCCTTTATCAGTAGGAGAAGTTGATGCCAGTGGGTTGCCATACATTGTTCATGTAAATATTAACACTGTATACAAGCCTCTCTCAAACCACCATGCAACTTGTTGCCATTTCAAACAATTGGGATGTACTAGTTTTGTTGATTGGTTAGTGCTCCAGAGAATCAAGCGATCTGAGTGGCCACTTTTAACTCACTATCTGGTCACATGATCTTCTGTGGATTCTCCCCTCCCCCTTTCAGAACTCTGATTAAGATTTCACTATTGATTAGATTCCACAGCTGCAGTAGTTCACACTGTTTCAATTTATTTCATTTTGACCTCCCTTTGATTTCTTTTCAAAATGTTTTATTTGTAGCGAATTGAGGATACAACCATGAAGATATTTGGTCAAAGGGAGATAACTGTCCCAATTTACAATCTTAAAACCTACTAAATGGGGAAAAAAAAAAACACTTTTTTTTCATTTTATTATCAGTATCATTATTATCTTTTTTCTTTGTTTTATAAATGTTGAAACTAAGTTAAACAAGAAAAAGTCCAGAATTTGTTATATGATAAAAATTCACATTTGGCAAGTTAAGGTAACAAGATGCATCGTGGTGGCTTGTTGTAGGGATGTTTCTTTGTTCTCTCATTAAATCATAGTCTTTGTTTAACACATAGTATTAGCTCGCCGTAACCTGGCGAAACATTTTGTGTAAAGTTTACAAAGGTAGGCACTGGTCAAAGTGTGAATGGTTGTGTGAATGGGTGATTGAGCACAGTGAGCAATGGAGCAAGACGAGTGAAATTTGGTTGTGGACGATTGGTTGAGCATTGTTACATAGGCCATTGTGACAGACCTATTTTTCAGTATGTGTCTGGGTTATCATATAAATATATATATATATATAATTATTATTAATATTTGTAAATTGTATCATACAACATGTTCTCGCACCTCTCCCTATTGTGTTGCATAGAATTCTCAACTTTTCATGTATTAATGTTGAAATGATCAAAATGTCAACAATATTAATGGGCAAGTGAATTTCTTTCTCACTAATTGTATAATTCTTTTTTAAAAAAATTCTTAGTTTTGGGGGTTTTTTATGATAGGGTAGATCTAAATATGCAAACAAGATGTTCTCAACTATTTTTCTTTGATAACAGTTTGTCTTCACACCTTGAAAAGTTCGAAGAATTCTATGAGTTTTCGAGCTGGAAATTCTTTTTTTTTTTTTTTTTCATCAATTATGTATATTGATGTCGCACCCAGAAAACGTCCACACTTTTCATTCACTTGTCTGGTTGCTTGTCAAAACAAGTTGAATTCAGAATGAATCGTTTTTCTGAAGCATTATAGCACTAACTTACAATGCCCAGCCAGAGAGAAAACAATTTACTAGGAAGAGAAATGCTTTTAGCAGTACAGGGTTTAGGTTCTTGTCTTATAACTTAACAGCCCTTTAGCAGATCCAGAAGTTCTCATCGCATTATAATTGATCAATTTCAAGCTTGATAACTTTTATTTGATTGATCAAAACTTGTTGACTTTTGAAATCTTTCAACAAAATTTCTATAAATATTTCTGCATTGTTGATAATTTTCATGGTGGTTAAGTCTTCGTTCTTTAACATGATGATGATTTTTTTTTCCTGAACAACCATTTTCTAAACTGATCCTGTCCCTTGGTTTACGCAGTGGTGAATGCCTACATGTTAGGAGCATTTCAAAGTTCGGTTATCAAGGGACACAACTCACCTGGCAGCCATATTGAAAAACGATTGCTCAACCGGCTCGGGATTAAGACAAGTGGAGAAGATGTGGATATTTGTGGGAGTGACCAAGGGAGGGGCCACTCACTGACCGTGGTAAAGTCCAGCTGTGTAAGCCATTACATTCCCATCACTTTCTTTGCTGAGTGTTCTAATGTCCCGCCAGGAATCTGTGTCTGCTGGCAGCTGCCAACCCTTGAATTGCAGTGGACTGGTCCACATCTTTACAATGGATTGGTTTATTGTGGTTAAAGGGGTGTTTGGTTCAAAATATCTTGGTGTGCTGTCACCTTGCCACCCTTTTACTGCGGTTGACTTGTCCATTTAATGCTATTGGATTAGTCTATTGCAGGTTTAAGGAGGATGTAAGGTTTACCGATGAATCTTTGTCTACAGTAAGCTCACTACCCTTGCAACTGCCATGGACAGGTCCACATCAATCCATGGGATCAGTCTATTGCAAGTGTAAGGGATGTTTGTTAGGTTTATCTGAAATAAACCCATACAATTATGTCTCAATTTGTATAAATTATGTGCTAATAAAAGCTGTGCTGTTCAGCAAGTTGTCATAGTTCAAACATGCATCAGTATGTTTAATCTAATGTGACACTCACTGAACTGACTTTGGTAGGCACTCTGGATACATCCAGATGGATGTTTTCAAACCTAGCATTGTTTAGTACAGACACAGGTTCCACAACAGGGACTTGCTGGAAAAGTAAAATATGTGTTCAACGAAAACCAAAAACATGCTGGAATTCCATGTTAAGGTTATTTTATTAATCTTCTAAATCTCTATATTTACTGTGGAAAGCTACAATAAAACCAGTGACAGGTTGTTGTTGTTGTTTGCAAATATTTTTATCAATGTGTTCATGTACCTCTTGTTTCTTTGGTGACCATTGGTTGCTATGGATACAGTGCATAAAATTTTTTTAACGACACAGTTGGACCCAAGTTGTCAGTGTCATTGTCCAGCAATTCTGGTGGTCAGTTTGTTATACTATGGGGGGGTGGACAATCTGCATGTTTTACTTAAGTATGTGACTGGTCGTTATGAAAGCCAGCATCATTTAATTTGTAGGTTGTTTGTAGTTGTACATGTATTTGACAGAAAATTATAATTTCTCAGAAAAATTATTCTTTTAAATCATTTTTTCACTTCATGTGAAAATTCATATTTTCTCTTAAACATAAAATAGATTACGAAATGATCATGAACAAGTTCCCCTATGTAAAAATATTCATTTCATTCAAAATTATATTTGAATATCTTTTCTGAGAAAGATATAATTTCTTTAAAATATTGTTTCAAATACGCAAATATTATTTACTGAATATTTTTCAATTGTCAGGTAAAAGATGATGTGTTGTTTTTACAGAATATATAGGTATAGAGTTGTCTCCCTTCACTGTTTCATTTTCTATCTCATTGTTATTTTTTGTCCAAACTTAAGAATGCTCATTACGGGAGATTCCTTATATTCATGATTGTATTTTGTATGATAATTTAAGATGCAAGAATCCAAATGCCCTGTTGTGACATTTGGTCCGAAGAAATATCATTGTGTTATGGTAGATATGTGTAATGATGCGGCAAGGAATGTACAGCATACCGAAGATTATATTGTGTCCTTCATTTTGTAATAATAAATCACACTGTGGTATCCATTCATGGTGAGTCATCTTGATCAAACAGTAATATTATGTAATGTTAATGTTGTTTACTTTTGAAACATAGGCACTATGTTGTCACCACCCAAAAATAAACACTGGCAGTGGGGAGTCACACATACTAAAAAAATTTCAAACACGATTTGCCACGATCTCAGTGCCCATGCTCGATTCGTTGATGATATTAATGATGATGATTATAATGTTTCTATATTTGTAACAGAAATTTGCATGTGAATATTAGGGGTGAAAGTCAATTTATATTTTGCTGGGTGTCCATTGAATTTGATGAAGATGTTCAAATCATTCATTTTTCTGGGTACGGCAAAGTGTTATTATATATATACGTAACTGATATATATATATATATATCTATACATGTATGTATATATTTGTATGTATGTATATAGATATATATGTATGTTGTTGAGCATTCTGGGTATTTATTACAAGCATTTGATGCTCCTGAGAATATCAGGGGTCTTATCATTAATTTTTTTCCAACATTTTTTTTTTTTCTGCTTTGTAAATTGCAAAAGCAATCTTTTTCTTTATTTTGTTACATTTTTCATCAGTGTACATTGGTCATATACTCATCCATATATTTTTTTTTTTTTACACAAATCATGGTATTTCTTACTTTCAATAGAATAACACCCACTAGGGCCTCCCATTGATGATTTAAGATTGTAACTGCCCAGAGCCTCACTGTACAACACACTGCCCCAGTGATAGGTTGTGACTGGGAGCAAACTGCCTTCCTAGGGCCCTGTTTGTAAAAAAAGATATTTAAAATCCTACTTGAGCATCACTAAACATAGAAAAAACATGAGATGTCATATAGATACATTTTATTAGTGGGGAAAGGTGGGGGGTTCGCTGAATACGCTGGAGTCATTGGGGGAAAAACAATCAAAATTGAGGGTTATCATCAAGCATATATCATTACATCACAAATTTTTGAAGAATTCATTTTATAGTGAATATATATATATGTGTACATGATGTGAAAAGGATAAGAGGAAACATTTTAATTTGTTTTTGTTTATTTTTTTTAATCGTGGTCTCATTTCAGATTTGCACATCAACACATAAAACAAGGACACACATCCTGTTTTCATTGCATTATGTACAAACATTTCATCATGATAAGTACAGACATCCCGTAATATGTCTCTCCTCCTCGTCTACCTGTGTATGTGACTATGAATGTGTTAGTTTGTCATGGTGTCCACTTTTAGTTGGGTGTATCCATGACCCTTGTATGTTGCGATATTGTATATGAAACTTCTGTAGTCAGCAAACATGAGGGCTATGATTACAAATTAAACATCTGTGAGACCATTGGAAATTGAACATGTGTTTTTTTGTTATTTGTCATTTTTACATGGAACAGATTTGTTAACTTGTCATCAAGGAGAGCTCAGTCTGTTGGCTCAGTAACCTTGGCTTAGTCTGTCAGCCCAGTAACCCGGGCTCAGTCTGTTGGCTCAGTCTGTCGGCCCAGTAACCTAGGGCTCAGTCTGTTGGCTCAGTAACCTTGGCTCAGTCTGTCGGCCCAGTAACCTGGGGTGGAGGTCCATATGGTTCCACACTCACATGGCAGTTTATATTTCTTGTGAAGAAACGTTCTGGTCCAGTCAAGACAAGACACTACCCTGATAGCTTTGAATGGTTTGAAATGAACTTCAGGTATGTTGTTCAGTGAGGTAACCACCAGGTACTACAGGGAGACTCTGCCTCAGGATGATCCATCTTAGGGTTTAGAATTACGAAAAATATCTGTTTGAACAAAACGTTACTGTAATGTTTAGATTATATATTTCCTGGCAAGTATTTAGTCAAACATACTGAATGGTTGGATGTATTTAGCTCTCGTTATTAAAGATATCAGCAGTTAAGTACCAAGCAAATATTTCGTCTTATGTATCTAGCGTATTCGTTTATTCTTAAAGGCAGCATCCCCATGTAGTAGCTCAGACCAGGATAACTGCAAAATATTTGCCTGTGAAGTGAAATGATTATACAGTATATAAAATTCTCTTGAGCATTACTTTATGTGGAACACACTACTAAACCCAATAGTTCTGTCATAGTAATTCAAAATTAACCATGTCTAGAAAACGACGCAATTCACTTTCAGTTTCCTTCACTAAGTGTAAACACGACCTCAGGGACTTCAACATAACTAAAGCCAAATTACAAACATTTTTGTCTGAAAGTTCACTAAACGTAAGTTTTTATTCGTGAGCTTGAGAGAAAGTTATCCCAGGAATTCAACTATGAGATTGCTCAAAAATAACCGTTAGGATACAATCTAGACTACAAGAGAATATTGACATGTCAACAAAATCTGTGAAACGAGTAAAACATGAACAGTAAAAATTGGTAAAGACTAAGTGTTCTGGAGTGATAAGTGACTTCAGTGTATAAAGTTAGTGTTATTGAAGCAAAATTCAGATTCTGTCATAACACTGATCGGAATTCTGTATATACATACAATTACAGGGAAAGAAACTTCAGTTATTTTAAAACTGTAACCAATTTCTCTATCTGACACTTGTTCGAAATGATGTTTGAAGTCTACTTAATTGGCAGTTTTAGTCTAAAATTTTGATTCAGTTGACATCAGAATGTCAAACTCTTGACATCCAAGTTACAATACACCAAGTTTACCTTTAGCAGTAAGCATTGCCATAAACTACCATAAAACAGCATTGGCTAGAGCAAGACTGAACAAGCTAAACGATTCACATGTCCTTGGATTTGTCTAGTTTCACAAGAACAGAGAAGTCTTCATTGGACAGTTACTTTAAGCAAATGGAAATATAAAGAGGTGTAAGATTTCTATAGAGATTCAAAGTCAATAGATGATGAAGAATTTTTTGACTCCTTAACACACTGAAAAGCATCAACAATTGGAAAATATCTCAAAAAAACTGGTGCTGTGATTGTTTCGCACACCATATTTAGTATATGCAAAGCTAAATTTGACTGATCCTCTGTTTATCCATCGAGACAAACAATAATATTTTAATGGATATTAATAAGCAACCTTCATGTTTCTTTGCGAACAGACACTTGTCATAAACTTGCTACAAGCTCGAGACTAACTCCTAAACATTATCAGACTGGACTTAACATTGTCACAGACTGGACTAAACATTGTCACAGACTGGACTAAACATTGTCACAGACTGGGCTTAACAAGGTCACAGACTGGACTAAACATTGTCACAGAATGGACTATACATTATAACAGACTGGACTAAATACTGTAACAGACTGGACTAAACATTGTCACAGGCTGGACTTAACATTTTAACAGACAGAACTAGACATTGTAACAGACTGGACTTAACATTGTCACAGACTGGACTAAACATTGTCACAGACTGGACTAAACATTGTCACAGACTGGGCTTAACAAGGTCACAGACTGGACTAAACATTGTCACAGAATGGACTATACATTATAACAGACTGGACTAAATACTGTAACAGACTGGACTAAACATTGTCACAGGCTGGACTTAACATTTTAACAGACAGAACTAGACATTGTAACAGACTGGACTTAACATTGTAACAGGCTGGACTAAACATTATAACAGACAGAACTAGACATTGTAACAGGCTGGACTAAACATTATAACAGACAGAACTAAACATTGTAACAGGCTGGACTAAACATTGTAACAGACAGAACTAGACATTGTAACAGGCTGGACTAAACATTGTAACAGACAGAACTAGACATTGTAACAGGCTGGACTAAACATTATAACAGACAGAACTAGACATTGTAACAGGCTGGTCTAAACATTAAAACAGACAGAACTAGACATTGTAACAGGCTGGACTAAACATTGTAACCGACAGAACTAGACATTGTAACAGGCTGGACTAAATATTATAACAGACAGAACTAGACATTGTAACAGGCTGGACTAAACATTATAACAGAACTAGACATTGTAACAGGTTGGACTAAACATTGTAGCAGGCTGGACTAGACACTGTAACAGGCTGGACTAGACATTGTAACAGGCTGGACTAAATATTATAACAGACAGAACTAGACATTGTAACAGGCTGGACTAAACATTGTAACAGGCTGGACTAAACATTGTAACAGGCTAGACTAAACATAGTAACAGACAGAACTAGACATTGTAACAGGCTGGACTAAACGTTATAACAGACAGAACTAGGCGTTGTAACACGCTGGACTAAACATTGTAACAGACAGAACTAGACATTGTAACAGGCTGGACTAAATATTATAACAGAACGAGACATTGTAACAGGCTGGACTAAATATTATAACAGAACTAGACATTGTAACAGGCTGGACTAGACATTGTAACAGGCTGGACTAAATATTATAACAGACAGAACTAGACATTGTTACAGACAGAACTAGACATTGTCACAGGCTGGACTAAACATTGTAACAGGCTGGACTAAATACTGTAACAGACTGGACTAAACATTGTCACAGGCTGGACTAAACATTAAAACAGACAGAACTAGACATTGTAACAGGCTGGACT